TTTATCCTCTCTATTTACACTTGTATATAAATCAGCTTCTAACTGAATTATTGCATCTTTAAGATAAATAAGACAATTCCAGGCATAGTATGATGAATTCCATCTAGTCTGCACATCTTGAACACAATGCATCACATCTTGATACATTAATTTTCGCTGCACCTCCTCTAACCTTTCAATTTGTTTTTGAGTTGAAAAAAAACTAATTAATCGTCTTACACGCATTACTAAAATTTTAGCAGATAATAACCCTTTTCCAATTGCTAATTGAAGTGTATGCACAGTACACAGAATTCTTTGAATATTTTCACATTCATGATTTTGAGATAAAATAGGTAGTGCTGCCTTCATATTGGCTGTGTTGTCAGTAACAATTGACACTACATGGCCTTCAATATTCCAATTTAAAATACATTTATAAAGTAATTCAGCAATAGTATTTGCCATATGGTGAGAAGGAGCATATATTATATCCAACATTACATCTTTAATTTTAAAGTCTTATGTAATCTATGTAGCTGTAACACCCATATATCTATGTTTGGCCCTACTTGACCACAAATTTGTTGTAAGAGATATGGTTGTTGCAGTTTCATTTAATAAATTAATTAGATTTTGACGATTATAATAATAACTTTTTGTTATCGTTGTTTTTATTTTTTGTTCTCTAGGCATTATAAAAGAAGAATCAAACTGAAATATTTTTTCTTTATATACTGGATTTGTAACAGTAGAAATAGGCTGATCCGAAAGTAATATCCATTTAAGAATAGTTTTTTCTAGCTGCCTTTGTATATGTTTTGGATGTAGATTAATAGATAGAGTATAATCAGTAATTTTTGTACTTTTTAACTAAAAAATTATAATTTGTTAATTTTAAATTCAAAGTCTTAAATTTTAAAAAAAATAAAACATACTCTTTTAGGCTTAGATTCACTTCTATTTTCATCATTATTAACAATATGATGAATGTCCTGTAAATGTGCAATAAGATTTCCAGTAGAATTTCCAATATTATAATATTTTTAATCACATTGATCACCATTATCATTTAGAATTTTACAAATTTGTACTGGCTTGCCTTTTTCATCAAAAGTCTTTTCAAAATATGGTCTTACGAATGATGGTTTTCTTTTGTTTGTAGTTTGACTTCTGATTTTAGAAATTGTATTCGTTTTCTTGTCTTTAATAAGGTTAAAGTATTAATATTTATTGAGTTAAAAATTAATTAATATTTAAAATAATTTATTACCATTATTAATAGGTGAAAATGATGCGATATGGTTAGAGCTTATTTCATCTTCTTCGTAGTTATCCATTAT